CAAAATTTTAAAAATGATTTTTTTAATAAACAACATAATATCAATAAAAATAAGTTAATATGTATTTTGACACTTTGAAAACGCCGTATAATTACATCATTATTAATATTATTAAATAATTTTTCTACTTGTATAATTTTGTTTATCATTTCGTTGGTAAATGCTGAGCTAACATTGAGTAAATTAAATTGAATATAGAAATTAAATGAATTGAAATAAAATTCAAGTTTAGTTCAAGAAGTAAATGAAATTCAAATTTAAAGCAAACATATATAATTCGAAAATAATTTAAATTGCATTTAATCTGTAACAATCCTAAAAAATTTACGTCATATTTAATATAAGACTTTCGAATGAAATGATATAAATTATATTGAAAAATTTATTGTGCAAAAATAATAATTAATTGAATTTTTTAAAAGAAAAAAACGAGTTAGACGTTTTTTTTAAGGTGTATGTTTGATACATATTTAACTATTTTCGATATCCGTTTGGACCATTCGATATGAAAACGATGTAGTTTTCGAAACAAACTTTTATATGGCATAGACGATTTGTGGATCCAAATAGCACATGATTGCAAACGAATTTTTAAAGTTAGGATATTATTGAAACTCTCAAAATATTAGTTTCAAACAGCCTATTTTAACATGTCATAACTTTTGCTATAATTAACCACTTCGCATGTCATTAATGAGTGAAAAACTAGGTCATGAGCACTTCGAAATGGTATTAAAAATGCAATATTTTGACTTCATTTGACATCCCGACGAGTGCATCAAAGTAGATTGTAAAAATTAAAAAAAAAAGGGCAAAATTTTGTGGGGTCATTTGACCCCACATGACCCCATGTGGGTCCGCCTGTGCTCCCATCTACTTCTTAATAAAAAATGGACAATGATAATATTTTTTAGATTGAAAATAAAATCAATTAAAATAACAATTTTCATGCAAATAATTTCTAGACAATTCAATTATTTGAAATTTATTTTTCCATATAAGTTCCATATGGTCAAACATACCTTAAATTAAATTTATACATTAATATTATAAAAGGAAGGCTAAGCAAGCATATTTGCCTTTCAAAACCAGAATTAAAATATTAACAGATAAATCCAGATCACAGACTAGAAATATTATTGTATATATAAATACTTTATGGTTTGCGGACCGACGAAAATTCATTAAAGCATCCCTTCTACAGCGGTTCTGGATTTTGAGGATAATTTTTACGGTGTCTAAGAGGGAGAGAAGATGAAGATCACGGCTTTGCTGGTATTAAAATGCAATCAGGAGGGTTCTGATCCGGTGATATTAGCGAATGCATCGGATGTGAGCCGTTTTGGGTTCTTCCAGAGGTCTAGCGTCAAAGAGTTTATTGTCTTCGTGGGTCGGACGGTGGCGAAACGGACCCCACCTGGACAACGCCAGTCCGTGCAGCACGAAGGTCTGAAACTTTTGATTTTGATTCTTTTAGTAGTTTTGGAATTGGTGGGATTATTTTTACTAATTGAATTATGAATAATTGTATTGGTTGTTTAATGATCTATTGATGGGTTAGTGATTTTGTGCATCAGGAATTATGTGGTGAAGGATTTGTGACTTGAATTTGAGTTTTTTTGTATTTTTAGATTGGTGATTTAGGGAAATTAGTTTGGGATATTTCCAGGTTTTTGGTGCTTTAGGGGAGGAATTTTGAGTTATGTTTATAAATTGTTAATATAAGTTTTATGGATTTAATAGTTATGAGGCAATCTTTTAGTTTGTCAATATAGTAGAAGAAATAGTGCCAAGGGGCTTCTATTGGAATATAAAAATCAGTGATTATATTAAGGAATATTTGCCTTATATGGTATGATCAGCTTCTGGAGGCTGATATAAATTGGCTTTAAGATCAGGTTTGGTTTGATCTGAAAAGGCGTTGGTCGATGATAAATGGTGTGGATGATTGGATGTATTGAAATTGTTTTCAATGTGATCTGCAAGGATTTAACTGAGACTTTAAATTCTCTTGTTTATTTATTATTATTATTATTATTTTTTTTATGTTAAATGGATTTAGAAAATGATGCTGAAGAAGACCACAATCTGGTGATATTATTGTTTAGAAATTTACTTTTTGGTTGATTTTCAATGTAAGGTTTGATAACGTCTTGACGGTAAGGGAAGCTTCTGTAATTCAATTCATTACACGCTTATTTGTCAACTTTTGGGAATATTCAAGTAGGAAGTTCTTGCGAGCCATGGACCCTTAGGTTTTTATCAGTTATCCTTGATTAATTTTGGTATGTTTGAATTGAAGTGGAAGCCTGACACGATAAACAGTTTAAATTTTGTCCAAGCATACCACGTGTGGTACTTAAAGTACTAGTGTTTGGCATTCTGAATGTTCGACCTTGCCTGTTATCAGTGTGTCCTGTCTCAGCATGTTGGTTATAGTACTCAGGCTCTCTCTTGGTTGGTGACACAAGATCTAAACTTCATACTCCATTGCTCCACAGTTGAAGCCTGACCTATAAGTGGATAATGCATCTTAGCTATCAGGGATCGTTGACAAATGCTTCCCTGAAAAGATATCAACCCTTAGTATCACCTCTACAATCAATCAATGGTCCTTAATCCTTAACCTCCGATAATTGTGCGAACATATTTACCGCAAGACTAGCTACCTACTCAAAACCTACAGATTCAAAGTTGGAGACCTATACCATCTAATAAGTTAACCAACTTACTATGCCATTTCTTCACAATCTGATTTTTTAACTTTGATACACATACGTATTCAGCTAAATAGAGTTAGTATAGGTTAAAGTATCAGAAACGTAAAAAAGGTGAAAAATGGCAGTGAACTTATTATTTTGATATTAATTTTTTTAGTCTATTTACATATTTTTCCTCGTAACTTTATTTGCATTTTTGTCTTGTTAACAAATATGTCGCAATGTGAAGTTAAAATGGACTTGAATAAGGAAATTCCAAATAATGAAGTTCTTATCTTTGTATTCATTAGTTTAGCATTGAAGTTCACATCATTATGTATACTTCCTTCTTTTACTTGAGTGTGGGGTACAATCAGAAAGTTTTAATAACATTTTGAAGATTGAGGAAGAGTAAATATTGAAGAGGAAGAAGAGGAATCAGGCAACAGTTCTTTAGCAGTATAACAATCGAACTTAACTCGCAACTTTCATTTACTCTCAATTCGTAGTGATAATGTTTATTTTGGAGAGAGAATAATAAAAAATGGCATTCCTCTGTAATAACAAAAGATTTTAGAGATCAATTGAAATTATAACTACAATATGAATTAGATATACTTCTGTATGGCTCTCATTTTGGTCATTATTTCTCATTTGTATCAATGGCTTACATAGTGTTCTATAAGTTAATTGATTTGATCAGATGGATTGTCATTCCCCCTAATAAGATAACCAAGAAGGAGAGTATATATTAATGATCAAGGATACGACCAAGATGTTCTAGTGTTAAAGCACGTTGAAAATGCAAATAATTATGCTTGGGGAGATATATGTACATAATATACTAGGAAAGCAGATAATAGAAAATTCAGAGAATTTTCTTTCGAGCTCTTACTTTGTCTATCTACAGCAAATCTACAATGAATCTATGGTAGAAGAGAAGGTTCTATTCGGCCTGTAAAATATTTATAAAGACTTCAATCTATTATACTCTATTAGCAGATGATTCAGCTAAGTACACATGACCCAGAATAGGTTTCAGGATGAAATAAATATATGAGTTAATATCAATATTTTAATTTTATGAGTTTGTGATTCATTCAAGGAAATAAATAATTTTTTTTAAAATTATTATTATTTGTAATTTTCGGGGGAAGGGAGGAATTTGAAGTTGTGAAGCCTTTCTTGTTTTCCTGCAAAGAAACCTTTTTGATGATCTATATCACATGCTATTATAGTACTACTTGTCATGGGTTGGGTTTATGAGTCTCACCACTTTGAATGCCTTAATAAATTATGTTATCCGATATGTAATGCTACTCCAATAAGTTGGGTCACACCAGAAGCACTTTCCATAACGATAGAAAAATAAGTGAAAATGCTAATCAAATTGATTTGTCAAATTTTATCAAGAATTCAATGTGCTAATGTATCTGTCTTCTTAGAATATAGAGAAAGTATATCCCGAAGAATCTGGCAAAATGCTGGGTTTGTCATGGTGACTCTGTTGTTGGGTGTGGAGTGTGGGGGTTAAGGTGTTAGGCTCCCCTTGAAACTTAAACAGATCATGGGAAAAGCTAATTACTTGAAAGGTTGTCTTTTCTGTTACAGTTCTCTATGACATAAGTATATATATTTGAATGTTATTTAGGCACCTAAAGTATTGATAATTATTTTATAATTCTTTGTCATGATAGAGTACAAGATCCATTCATACAATCAGAATGGGTTGTGTGCGTTGGGTTTTATGGATGATCACTACCCAGTTCGAAGTGCATTTTCATTGCTCAATCAGGTAGTTTATTTTTCCAAAATTCTAATTTTTTGTGGACAATAGGAGCAGATTATTGATTTGGGGATTTATATTGCTAATGTTTCAGGTCCTCGATGAATACCGAAAGACTTTTGGCGATTCCTGGAAAATTGTACAAGCTGATAAAGTTGAACCATGGCCCTATTTAAATGAAGCACTCAACAAGTTTCAGGTATTCGAATTATTATGCGTTGTGTTGAGTTAGAAAATGAAGGCATAGTAAGTTAAAGATAATAGGTGCCAGATATATGAAAGCATTGTAAACTAAAGATAATAGGTGTCAGTTGGTATTTTGTCCAACATCTTTTATCTTAACTTCTCTCCAAGTTTAATTTTACATATGACTGTAACTGGAGCAGTTCCTTGCATGTCGGTGTCTATTTCCATTTATTAATTTTGTTATTGATTCTTTAGGATCCTGCTGAGGCTGATAAGCTGTTAAAAATCCAGAGGGAGTTGGATGAAACCAAAATTATTCTTGTGAGTATTCTATTCCATCATGCGTAAAATATTAGCTCTTTTAGGTCATTCTGACTATAATTCTTGCCTACATGTTACTCGACTCTGTTTGGAAACAATTGAAAAGTATGAATTAGTTATCTTTCCAATTCCTTGTTTAATTGGACGAAGAGAGAATTAGATAAGATTTGTTTTGAGTCTAATAAAAAATTGCTTTGAAATGATTGGCTTGGACTTTGTTTGAACTGAATATCTGAAATCTCTAGTTCTCACCAAGTTACTGATAATTTTTAAATATGGTTTGCATTTACTGACTGAATGGTTTTGATAAAACTATATGCTAGATGTTAATATGACTATATTCAAATTGGTTTTTGGAATGGGTTATTTGCACTTTTTATTTATTTATTTATTATTATTATTTTTTAAGGATATGCTAAAATGTTGATAAGTACCATGCTGCACTGCACTACTTGATATTTATGTAATGGAGCTTTGATTAGGAGAATCAACGGCACTCTGCACATATTAGTATATATGGGGGTGTTTGATTCCCATTTTTTCAAAAATACATTTTTCTCTCTCTTCTTTTCAACCATATGTTCCTCATTAAAATAATATTACACACAAACCAAAAATTTTTTCCTTATTTTTAACCACACATTCTTCATCAATCTACAATTCCAAAGAATGGGGCTCAAACACACCCTATACCACACACACACACACTCATCCATTTAATTCTAAATACATGTTTTAAGTTCTGGAGGCCAAATGTCCCAATTCATTTTCCAACTATCATATTAGACCTTAACAGTTATTTCCTAACATGTTCATTAGAATCCTCCGTTGTATCTTCTGTAATATTAGTAGATGCTATGCTAATCCAGAGCTTTTGTATTTTTTCATGTTTTGAAAGAATTGAACAATGGCTTAGTGTTTTCAAATATTTGAACAATGAAAATAGATGGTGAGTAGGGTGATGAATCAGAAAGGAAAACTTTATTAGTTCCATAATCTATTCTTTATAAAGAGAATGAATCTTTTTTCTCGAAGCGATTGTTTGCTACTGGCAAAGCGTCTAGTAGGTCAACCACTAAATAAAGGTTATTCTTTGAATTTAAGAAACAGAACAGAAGCCACACATTCACAGATAAAGTTCTAATTGATTTAGATGTTCTGTATGAGAAAATTTTACCATGAGTGCAATTTTAGGGAGTGTGTGGAAGTGAAAGCCTACAGGGTCATGATAGCATCCCAACTCCAATAAGATTCAATCATACAAGTTGTTAATTCAAATTCTAGAGTGTTCCACAAATTAGTTAGCAAAGGGGGTAAAATGGGGAATAGAGATATAATAGAATATATATAAATGTCGGGGGGAGAATTCATTCAGGGAATTGTTTAAAAAATGTGAGGAGAGATGAAGGCCTCTCGAATGCCTTGGAGTGTCTTTCAAATTCTGTTTCATTTCATCAGTTCATTTACTGATTTTTAAGTTCTCTGCAATTCAATAAAACAATATATTTCATCTAGCTTCAATTCTGCAATTCTTTAGCACTATTCCAGTTACCTCCAATTTCGTCAGCAGCCGGCAGAACCTTGGACATCCCATTTACCTCAAGCATCAGCCACAGTAGCCAGAATCTCTCCAATCTAATCCATAAAACTAACTTTGGCAACCACAGGCTCCATTTCAGTTCTGCAACAGCTACAACAGCACAGGAATCTATCATTGGATACAATGGCAGTGTTATCCTTGCCTAAGTCCGTATACAGGAGGTCCATTATTGATATAATTGGATACAAGGACTTCACCCTAACATGAAATTATCTGAGTTGATGATAGCTTTCCCCAAACTGAACCTTTAATTGCAGATTGCAAAAAATCATATTTTCTCTGTTGGACTTGCAATATCTAAGCCCAGGCTGATAGAAGTGCAATTTTTTTTATGTCAACTAGGGACCCCAGAAGCTGGCTGACAGGTTTACAATTAATAGCCTCCATTGTGCACTGAGATTTATGGGATTGATCACTTGCTAATTCTTTTCAATATGAGTGCTAGAAGCTCATATTAAATATATTTTTTATCTTTGATGGCTAATTGGGTGTTCAATGATTTTTATACAAGTTTTGATTGTGACTGTTAGAATCAATTGGAGCTATCAATGCATTAAATTGATTGCCTTTCTCTTTTTTTTCTGCTATTCATTTCTTTGACCTTATCATTTGTATTAATGCTTGATTTTTCCCTTTAAATCAGCATAAAACTATTGACAGTGTCCTGGCTCGAGGTGAGAAGCTAGATAGTTTGGTTGAGAAGAGTTCAGATCTCAGTGCAGCTTCTCAGGTACATTTATGTAATTAGCTTGTTCGATATGTAGAATACATGTATTCCTGCAAATGTAAAGAATCCAATAATTGCCACTGTTTTGTCAATACTAATTTAAGGAAGTGGATTACTTAAATAAAATTTTTGCCTATGTTTTTGTATGATTTCAATTAAAGCCAAAAAGGTGACAAATCCAGAATTAAGGATGGACATCCTTCCAGATTTTTGGAATTAATCTTGAATATTTCTTAGGTAATACATAACTGTCAGTGTTAGTAAGCTTAAGTTTTTGAGAAACAAAAATGTAGAGAATTGTAAGGCGCTAATGTGAGTACTAGTTTCTGATATCTTGAACTGCTAAAGATCTGTCTTTAGACGTGCGACTATGTATTGATTGCTCTACACCAAAAATATTGAGCAGAACATTCCAGTTCCAATTCCAGTTCTAGGAGTTTCTCTCTATGCTTTGGTGAGTAACTCCTTTATTAAAACCTTAAAGATCCAAAAACAGCTAGGGGACCAAGCATGATAATATTGTTTTAAGAGCTTGAGCTGTTGAGGAGTCTTGAGAAAAATAGGAGATAAAATATATTCATTTTTCGCAATGATAATGGATCCAGCATATTCTTTATTTGTTTTATATAAGAATGCAACTACTTCTATATTTCTCATTGTCTAAGAAAAATTGAATATATGATTGCAAATGGACCTATGGAAATTTGAGATAAAAGACTGATCTTTCATGCAGCACCCAATACTCGTATAGTTGAGAAAAAGAACTTTTTAAGTTGAGAAAGTTGAGCTGACTTGACACCTACAGGTCTCTACAGAACTTGTGTAGTTGGTTCAGCTCATCAGCTGTGGTTATAGATATTTATTTATGTAGCAGAAGTGCCCCAGTTTTTGCGTGCTATGAATTTTAATGGGCACTAAAGTTTCTCAAGATCTTATTGTAATTACATTTCATTTTCCATTTCTTACATAAATCATGCTTACCTATTTATTTTTTATGTACATATGTTTAGTCCCCAAGCTTTTCTTTACGTCTTTAACTCTAGTATGTGTTGTCTCAATGCAACGCATACCTGTCACTTGGGCAACATGTTTTTCGATTTTAGACTTCAATAATAATATGCGTCGTCTCGATATGTTTTTTTTTTCTACTTATTCCAGCACTTGATGTAATTATTGGCTATTGCAGTTGCTTGGATTCAAATTTTTTCCCCTATAATTCATGATTTAACTTAAAAACATCGTTTGCTTATGCTGACATGAACTCCCTTGTGCCTATTGAAACTTGAAACAGATGTTCTACAAACAGGCGAAGAAAACCAACCAATGCTGTACAATCTTGTAGATGCTTCTGAAGCCAGTGGATTATTGAAACTTGAAGTTACTTGGTATAATGTTGAATGTGTGGAGTCGCAAACTTATCTATATCATTTATAAAATGTTTCGAGGCTGGATTCTTTTGGTTCTTTACCCATGTGTATCTTGGTTTACAGCTAAGGGAAAGATGGATACTGACTTTGTTAGTATATTGGGAATGTTGTTGTTTCTATATATATGATTTCAGCGTGCTTTCTATTTACAGTAGCTTTATTCAGCCCAGCCGTGAATGGTATGGAGATAATTTCATCTTTGGTGAATAGTATACTATTTTTCTCCTCTTTTAGAAGTACGCATGATTTGCTTCCTAAACTTGAAAATGAAGTCGTGCTCTTGAATAGCGTTAAAACAATTGCATGGATTAAATTATTCAATTCATCAAAAGTATTGAAAATTTCAACTTTGGTTGTGTTATATCATGTTTTTAACCATGCTGAGAAAATTGCATAAATGGTTAGAAGTTATTGATAGAATAAATATATGTGAATCTTTCTAGAGAAATGTAAGGATTCTTTTGGAAGCACTTGTGCATTTTGACTTTTTGATGCTAGTGTTTACTTTACTCGTTCGTTATCATTTAATTTTGGAATCATGTTATAATGATATAATTGTTGACATAATATCACATGGTATCCTATTATTGGACAGTTTGAAATACAGTGATATTTTTCATTCAATCATTTACTGTCACACATGCACATGTGTCAACCTTTTTTGTCATTTTTGTTTTGTCAAAATAGATTAATCCCGAGTCTTACTAGTAGAGGTGTCAATTGTCTTAGTTGGCTTGTTGCCCATGTTCATAAAATCTTGACCTAGTTGCCCTGGCCGAGCACGAGAATTGAACTGGTCGAATTTTGCTAGTTGCAAATAATAAGTTAAAAAGAAAAAAATTAAATAAAAAAGGCTTGTACTGATTTCTATGAATAAATTCTATCTACGCTTTAACAATTAGATGCAATGACGGCGAAGTGAGTTTGGCATAGCTTCTCAAAGAAGTTAAGAAAAAAATTCAGAAAAATATCAAAACATTTTGAAAGCAATTTCTTAGTGTCACAAGTAATTTTTGACTTTTTAAAAGTCCTGCCAAATATTTTCGAAATTTAGACAAATCTCAAATATTGTCCATTCAAACATGTACGTACTCCCAATTTTAGAGGTATAAATGTAGAAGGGCTTAATTAAAATGAGAATCAGTAAATTCATAAACCAGTAAATTTAATAAATGGACAAGCTATTAATGCCACTCTCTTCCAATGTCTTCCTCTCCAGGTTTCCTCCTCCGTGACATAACACATTCCCTCAGAGTTACCTTTTTCTGTTTCTCTTTGAAAATCAGAAGGGAATAATCAACATTAGTTTTTTCCATTTCACATGTTCAAGTAAGTCTTTTTTTGGTTGGATTTCTTTCTTTCTTTTGTTCTTTAAGCGCCTTCGAGATTTTGATTGTATAATCATCATATTGAAAAACGTATCAACCTCGTGTTCGTGATCATTGTGTAAGACATCAATTCTGTGAAAGCGTTTGATTGATTGATCGTTAGTCACTTGTTTCTTGACTTGAGGGTTAGAGGGTCGTCCTAGATTGATTTAGTGAAGATAGGTTTCTATTCGTAAATTGCCAATTTTCCGTTGTGAATACAGGACAGGGGAAAAGATGATAGGCTATCTGCTTTTCTTTGTATTCTTGATCCACACAAATGAAGCTAAATGTGGCATGGGGAAGCCACCATCAGTTCCTTTAAAGAAATGGATGACTCTAAGTGGTATTTTGATTATTTTCCCCTTTTTTTTTTGAATATTCATAATTTAAAATCAACACATGGATCAACATTCATGAATTTTCAGGTGGTGTACCTCAAATAGTAGCGAATGGGGGGTTCTCTGGACTTTTTCCAGCCTCCAGCATCCCAGCCTATGAATTTGCTTCATTGAATAGCTTGCCAGGTACGATATTGCTCTGCGATCTCCAATTTACAAGGGACGGACAAGGTTTTTGCGAGTCGGAAATAGCTCTTCAAAATATGACAAACATTGATGACAGAGATCCGAAAGGACAAAAGACCTACAACGTAAACGGGCAAGAAATTCATGGATGGTTTGGTTTGGATTATGATGCTGTTTATATTTTCAACAATGTGACATGTAAGTCGGGTTGTGTTTAGTATGCAGTATTGGATATGACAGGATGTTTTTTACGAGCCATCAATGCTTTTCGAGTTTACTAATGTTTCCTTTGTTGTCTACAGTGAACCAAAATCTACTCACCAGACCACCATGGTGGAATGGACAAGCAAGAATATGCCTATAGATATAGTTGCATCCTTCCAAACCCCAGAGACTCTGGCTAAATGTTCAGGTCTCGTCTCTAATCTCTACACATATCAGCAACAATTAATGAACCGATAACTTTATATATATATATATATATATATATGTTACAGTATGACAATTTCTACAATCAACACAGAATGAGTCCCGAAGATTTTATCCTTAGTAGTATGGAGGATGTCCAACCGGAGTTCATTTCATCTCCCGAGATTGGTTTCTTGAAGAGTATAGGGCCGAAGGCGAAGGCAGCAAAAACAAAAATGATTTTCAAGTTTCTTGGACCAGATGTTGTAGAACCTACAACGAAAGTGAAATATGGTTCATTAGCTGCCAAGCTGCCAATGATAAAGTCATTTGCGTCCGGGATTGTTGTCCCAAGAGAATACATATGGCCTACAAATAATGGATATTTGCAGGCTGAGCCGACAAATCTAGTGCTTGATGCTCATAAGTGGGGCTAGAAGTATATGCTGCTGTTTTCTCAAATGACGACTATTTAAGTTACAATTACAGCTATGATCCAGCAAGAGAGTATCTTCAGTATGTCGATAATTCTCAGTTTTCAGTCGATGGGGTGATTACTGATTTCCCTGTCACTGCTTCAGCTGCAATTGGATGCCTATATCAGGACAAGAATGCTTCGAGGACATTAAAAACTCTAATAATATCACATGACGGAGCGAGTGGAGATTTCCCTGGGTCAACTGATCTTGCCCATCAGAAAGCCATAGATGATGGTTCTGACATAATAGATTGCTCTGTCCAAATGTCTAAAGATGGAATTGCCTTCTGCTTAACTTCACCCGACCTTACGGATTCAACCACTGCAGCCACTCTTTTTATGGATCGAGCTACACAGATTCCAGAAATTCAGCTAGACAATGAAATTTTCTCCTTTGATCTCACCTGGACTGAAATTCAATCTCTAAAGCGTAAGTTTATCGACCTGTTTGTTTAATTTTTGTATTTCCATTTGTAACATACATATTATTTTCTCTGGTTGTTTCAGCTCAAATTCAGAAGTCTTTCCGAGATCTCCTTAGAAATCCTCTAAACAAGAATAAGGGCAAATTTGTGATGCTTTCTGAGTTCCTCGAACTTGCTAAGACCAAGGCAGTACTCGGAATTCTAATTAATATAGAGAATGCTGCATATTTAGAATCAAAGAAGGGTCTTGACATAACTGGAACCGTCTCAACGGCTCTAAGTAATGCCACATTTGATAAGCAATCTACTCAGAAAGTTTTGATTCAGTCTGATGACAGTTCAGTGCTTTTAAAGTTCAAGGATATACCGACTTATCAAAGAGTGTTGGAAATCAAAAAGGATATTAGTGGTACACCCCATGAACTAGCGCAAGAGGTCAAGAAATATGCTGACGCAATTAATGTTCAGAGACGTTCTGTCATTTCATCTACGAGTACATTCTTTACCAAGAATTTCACCAACATTCTCCCGCTATGCATGCTGCTAATGTATCAGTATACGTTGGAATTCTCAAGAACGAATTTTCTAACCTTCTCCTCGATTATTATTCCGATCCTTATGTTGAGATCGCCACTCTTGTCGATGCACGCATAGATGGCCTCATAACAGATTTTCCCGCAAGTGCAAGTTCATATATGAGTAAGTATTACTGTGCATAATCTGTATCGAATCTGTCACATAACCGATAACACAACGTCGTTTTTAATCCTTTTCCAGGATCTCCTTGTCATAATAAAGCAGCTCCATATAAAATATCAGGAGTAATGCCATGTGATATGTTTGCAAGCGTGAAACAAAAAGATCAAGCACCAACGGCAGCACCAGCACCAGATCACATCGGACCCCTCCTCACCATCGATGATATCGTTGATGATTTCTATGACTGATTCTGCATCAAATACAACAAGCTCAGCTCCTATTACTGCTCCTGCACCAAAATCTTCAAGCAATTCAGCAACTGAAAATAAGGCAGGTCTCTATATTTCTGCAGCTTTGGGGGTACTTGGTTTCTTGACTATTGAACAAGCATTGCCAATTAATTTGGTAGTTCAATATTTGTTTGTTGACAAGTCATTGGCTCCTCAACAATTATACTATGATTTTGATCTTCACATGACTATATAAATTTTAACAAGTATATAGAGAATGTATGTATCATTTATTACATTGTACAAAAGATAGATATTTAGCTATGTTGATTTGTGAAACTAGATTATCAATGAGTCTTCAAGATATTTGGATAGATCAAATTAATATAGTTCTACAATTTAATGAACTAGGCAAATTAACAAAGAAAAGTCCCTATTTTACACCCTCTATCAGCTCCGTTTCCTGCAGTTTAGCTAGAATTCCTAGTGAACCACTCTCCTAAATATGTTCCAGTAAAACTAATCTTTTAATTAATTTAAATATTTTATTATCTATAATAGATAATAAATTATATGTTAAATAAAACATACAGGAATATATAATCAAATAAAACATATTCAAGTCCTAAATAAGAAATCGACATGACAGTAAAACTAAAGTTAATGCTGAAAATAAAATCTTTGCTCATATCACACTGGATTTGATTTATTAGGTCCAAAGAATCCTGAAACAACAATTGCAGCTTATCGCCCATCAACCAACGACCTGTTCTAACTCGTGAGAAGTGGGAAAAAATTGTGAATATATGAAAATACTTAATATAACACGAGTAAATTGTGCGTTCCCAAATAAAATTATTAAATCTCAATAATAACGTATATCATATCATATCATATCTTTAGAAATCAATAAAAACTCATAATTTATTATTTCTTTGGTAACGAACGACCATTTCATATCCTAACATAACTTTCATTAGCATTATATCCATCAACAGAAGAAATAAATTAAATGGAATAAACTACTTGTACCTCGAAATTTTACATTGTTAGATCAAATAAATTTTTTGAATGACAGAAACCAATAAAAAA